ATATATATTAGTTTTACTTGTTTTATCTTTCAGTTTTTATAATTTAAAATAAATTTTTAGTTTTTATACACATCTTTTACAATTTTTTTAATACTATAGTTTAAGTTAAATTTTTTTAATCTTTATACCTATAAATCCTTTTTTCCATATTTTTAGTTCTTATGATTATTTTTTTTAATGTTGTCCCTTTTGTATTAACGTAATAAAAATATTAATTTAATTTTATGTTTAATATTAAATTTATTTGACTTTAATTATTTTAAATTAAATTGACGTTTCTTGTCTCTTTTTATCTTGACTTTATCCATTATTGAGACATTATTTTTTTATTCATACAAAATTAAAAGATTCCAATTATGTTAACACAAAATAGATAACAAAAAGAATTAATGACAAGGACTAAAAGAATTATAAAATTACAAATTTAAAGATTAAAAAATTTATCTTAAATTATATGGACTAAAAGATATTAAAAAATATAAATATAAAAACTGAAATAGTTTATTTTAAACTATATGAACTAAAAAATAAAATACGTAAAACTATAATGAAAAAATATTTTTACCAATATATAATATAGGCTAAACTTTGTTTATAAAAAGATTAAACTTATAAAACGTTGATTGCTTTTTCACCTTTTTTTATAAAAAATAAAAAATAAAAAAATTATACACTATTTTTTTTATTAAAAAAAATCTAAAATTATCTTCTTCTTTTTTGAGAAAGTAAATTCTGATTTTTTTTTGGAAACGAGTAAATGTTTAGAACAATGATTTCTGAAATATATATTCAAAAGTTGATTTTTGTAAATATTAAAATTTTAACATATTTCAAAAATCAAAATTATTAATATATTTTTTTTAGAACAATAGGATATTGAGTTTTCTATTTGTTTGATTCCCATAGACAAAAAGGACTTCAAAACTTGTTTTACTACCAAAAAAAATAATTGGTGAACACTTAACCACCAATTAGCAAGAGAGAAAAAAAGAAGAAGATAGAAATACGCATATCATAGATAATGTAATAAGAAGAATAAGATAAAAGCAAATAACAAGATTTAATAACTTAATAAGGTATTTGGATTGGTTGAGTGTGAAAAATGAAGAGCTTACAGATGTTACTAAGCAAATGACAATGTTAATAACTTAATAATGTGTTGTTTTATAGCTTCATTGCCGATGGAGAGTGATGTTGTGGTATTGTTTTAGTGAATGAAGGTAGACAAGGACGGAGCCAAGGGGGGACCTACGGGTGCCACGGCCCCCCCAACAATTTTAATTTTTTTTTATATACATATATATTACTATATGGCACCCCCTATTTTTAATATAAACTCATATGTATAATTAAATGAATAACCCAAATTTATTTTTTTATTCAACTTTTGGACTTCTGGTACGGCCTGCTATGTGGTATCACTTTGGAATTTTTTTTTTTTTAAAAAAATGTAGCGCCTCATTTGATCATTCCAATTCTCAATTCTCAATTCTCAAGTAACACTGGCAATAGGAATAGGATTGGGTAGTGACTATCGGCCCCCCAGTATTGAAATCCTGGCTCCGTCCCTGAAGGTAGAAGACAGTTGTTTTCGTCTTTCACTTCTGCAAATCCTTCCATTTTTCAATGGCCATTAGCTGAAAGCTCCACCGTTAATACTTCTTAGGTTTTTGGCAAAAACATCCAGTTCCACAATTTAGCTTTTGCTTTGCGCAAAGACTTATAGTGTTTTTTTTACACGATTCACACCACATTTCTTTTATTAATAATAACATCAACTCTTATTTTCTTATTATTATTAATTTATTTTCATTAAAATGAAATGGCTGACTCGATTTTTTTTTTTTCAAAAGTAAAAGGTTGGTAGTGATTTAAAAGATATTTTCAAACTAAATTTCTGAAACATAGTTTAATATATTTTGAAACTAAATTTAGTTATGAAATAACATTTTGAATGTACTTTGAATTTAAATTTCTAGAAAAGTGTTTAATACATTCTTAAATAAAAATTCCAAAAAAGTGTTTAATAAATTATAGAATTAAATTTTAGAGCAGGTGTTTTAAATGTGTTCAATAATTTATTTCCAAAATATTCGTTCACTTTCTTCTATAATTTACACATTTTCGATAGTTACTAAACGGGTTAAATTATGTTTTTAATATTTTATCATATTTTTAAGATTCATTTTGATTTTTTATCTTTTAAAAAAATTATTTTCATCCTTTATCATTTAAATTTGAATTTGTTCCTTTTGAAATACTGATTCTTTTTAATTTTGTGACATACAATTTCAAAATTTATTTAATTAATTCAAGATATAAAATTTGTTTTATTAGACTCACCTATATGAAAATCATGAAATTCAATTGATGTTTGAATTTCAATTTAAAAGGATTATAAACAAGTGTAAATTGTGTAAAAAAAGAAATACACACCAATTAAAAAATAATATAAATTTTGATTTTTTAAAATTTTTTTGGTTGCTCCTTTAACTCATTTTCACACTGCCTTGTGTATATTACTTGTTTTAATTCAAATATCCATTGCTTTCAATAGTTTTTATGTAAGTGAATGATATAAGTTTTAAGTTTTAAATTAATTAAAAAATAATTTAAAATTGTATTTGAAAATTGAAAATAATAATTATTTCAAAAGGATCAAATTGACTCAAATTTAAAAGATAAATGATCAAAGTAAATATTTTATTAGATAAAAGATCAAAATAAATCTTAAAATTAAGATAAAAGAAAACTAAATATATAATTTAGTTTATTAAAAATGTGTTCAAAAGTTTTAAGTGTTTCTTTCTCATTATTTTGTAACATGTATAAATTAAATAATTTTTTACTACTATGGAGTTCTAACTCAAGTAATTAGTTAAGATGTTAGAGTTTTATAAATATGTGAATATTAAGTTTTGTTCTTATATATTTTAAAATAAATTATTAATAATTTTTTTTTATTACAATAGAAATTATTTATTATAAATATAAAATATAATATACATGTTTAAAAATAAATATATATATATATATATATATACTAATTTTAAATGTAATTTATATATTTAAATATAGTATTTGTTTTTATATAATTTATTATAAAATTTAATTATATATAATAAACATGTTTCTGCTGTTAAAAAAAATCAGCTTTTGTGAAATCAAGTATCAATATTAAGTCAATCATATTTTTTTTTTCATCAAAAACCTCAACTACCATATGATTCTTAAAAGATCCGAATTCAGTTGGCTTTGTATTAAAAAAATGGAAATGGTGGAAACAATAGAATAGGGTTGACCTGGGCATTGTGAACTGTGATCGGAACCGTTGGAAAGGGTAGATTTTTGTTGGGTGCTTTGTGAATCCAGCCTCACCTCCACTCTAATTAGAATCAACACAGAACACTTGTGTCTTCTTCACCCAACCCAGGTAACCATTTTCCAGCCTCACTTTGGTATGGCATATATATTAAGTTTATTCATTTTAAAATAATTTATAATTAATTAACTGTAGAATATTTTTTTACAATAACACTAAATAGCTAGAAATTAAACTCCACCTTTTTAATTGACAAAACTGGTGGGAAGGCGATGAAATTTCCATGAAACACAGTTGGACACGTTTTGTGGTTTGATACAAGTGTGAGGAGTGAGTTGACTTTGAAGATGGAACACGAGAAAAATGTGGATAAATAACAGTAGAGTACGTGGAATTCATATTGAAATATCTTTTAATAGAAGAAAAGTTGGAAGATATCCTCGACCACATCGTCATCTACACCCACCTACGTTGTTTCTGTCTCAATTATCTCTATTTATACGCACATTCCTTTCTCACAACTATTTCGAAAACAAAAACCCAAACATGCTTACACTCTCTCTCCACAACCACCAAAACCCTTTCTTCCTCTCTCCTTCCTTAGCTTACACTCTCTGCACCCTCATTCTCACCCTACTCGCCGCCACCCTTATCATCATCATCATCCGATTCCGCCACAACGCTCCTTCCATCCCTCTTCTCGTCGTCGCCGATTATGACTACACCGACACCGATGACAACGACGACGACGGAATCTCCTCCGAGTTTGAAGACGACGATGAGGAGCAGGAAGAAGAACAAGAAGAGGAAGAAAACAAAAAGGGTGAGTATTTCAGAGTGAGAGGCTCTGAAAACGACGGTGGCGGGTTACTACGACGTCGTAGCATTGGTGATTTCTTATCGCTTTCGGAAATCGCCAACAACAAAAGCGTGGTTAAGTTGTGGGACACGATAGGGTTTGGGCTAGGCTTTGGCTTTGACCATTCCTCCGACGGAAGCATCGTCTCGGTTTACGACGGGGACTATGGACTCCGCCATGATCCAGCGGTGGTGGTGTCCACCGGAGAAAGCGCGTCCGGGAATTTGGCAGTAAATGTTTGGGACTCGCGGCTCCGGCGGCGGATACCGGCGGTGATGGCGGAGTGGGGCCCAAGCCTTGGAAAGACCATTGGAGTAGAATCCGACGGGGTGCATAAGGTTTACGTCAAAGATGACGGCCGTTACGGATTTACGGTTGGTGACATGAGAAATGCCAGGTCGCCGTTACTACAAAATGTAACGGAATCACACCTCGATTTATGGTGGCCTAATTCCTTTCTTATGAAAATTTAAATACCCAAAAGTATGAATGTATAATTATACTTTGCTTGTACAGCATTTTTTTATGTATATAAGTGGCAATAAAATTTATATATATATATATATATATTTTATATACATTATCTTCATCTTTTTTTTTCCCATTTTAGGCCTATCTATTTAGTGGATTTTATGTTTCAAAAATAATTTATAACTGAAGTTGTAATGAAAAAGTTTGACATATAATAATCTAATTAATATTATAAGACTTAATTATTTTTTTTTTCCACTTTTGGTAGTTCATAGTGATGATCGTGTAATTTTTCTTTCTTATATTTAAATTGCACAAATTAAATCTTGTAACTTTCTTTCCATTTACAATCAAGTCACTCTATTGAAGTTTTATCATAAAATTAAAAAATAAACATTCACTTTAATTCCTTAAATTTGTGCTGTCATAATAATTTTTAAAATAAGAAATTATATTTTTTAAAAAACAAAAATAGAACTACGTACCAGCTCAATGCATTTGTTTAACATATGCATGGAAATTATATTAAACACTATAGAGAGGGATTTTTAGAATTAGTTAAAAGATAAAATTAGTTAAAAATGTGTATATATTAGATATTTTCTTTATTATTAGTATAAATATAACTAAAACGGTGAGAGACAGAAATTCCACATAATTTTATTATTGCTAAATAAACAATAAACTATCATAAATCAAATAAAAAGCAAATTAAACTTTTCAATACGATTTACCATAATTATAAATTAGTTTCTGTTTTTTTTCCTTACACTTATAATTTAGTAATTGAGATAAGATATTAATATTTAAGCAATAATTTTCTATATTTCTCTAAAAATATATATATATATATATATATATATAAAAGAACCATACTTTTATAGTTGGATCGAGTTTAATTGGTTTACAATATTAATATAAATAAATTTTATGCCGACATATGTTAATTTTTTGACACTATTATTTGTCGTTATATCATGCATGTTTTTATTAACTAAAATCTAGGTGCCGAATATAATTTTTAATTTACTGCATGTGATCAATATCTATATATATATATATATTTATAATTAGCTTTTATCTAGTATGTGTAACTATTATGCAAGTCATTGCACTTAATATAGTATAGTTACTATATAGCAAAAATAATAAATTATACTCAATTACCCTAAGGTTATCAAGCATCGGTTCTTGGACATTTATGCAATTCAATACATGTATAGGGGTAAAAAAACATAAATACTTTTATGGGGTTACATAAGCCCTACCGAATTACAACGTCTGATCTATCACAAGAAGTTAAGTATAAACAATGTTAAGTCTCTTAGAGTGCCAAGTATACCACTTAAATTGATTTTTCAAATTTTGCTACTTAAACTATAAAAATCTAGTACTTATATCTGGTAGAACAAATTGAGTATGCACCTACCACATCTTAACATGTATATCTAAGCTTTATATGAAATTAGGTCGTCGATTACCCTCTAAAATATTATGCACATTTTCAGCAATTAGTTAAGGATTTTATTCCTAAACTTTATATTTTATTCCGTTTATCACTTTATATACTTATGTCAGGGTTTTAATGTTTTATAGATTCAAAAGAAGAAGAAAAAGTTACTCCCTAGTTCCAAAGTATTTCTCTCTAAATTTTTATAAAATATAAACTTATGAAATTCACATTTAAAGAAAAATTTTATATAATCTTAATTAAATTAAGCCAACTTAACTATATTTAAACTACTTCAGAAATAATTTAATTCTTAAGAGTTCCTTAATTTTAAAGCTCCAAAATATAGTAGTTACAACAATTAATTATATAATTCATATAATTAAATAAAATATCTAAACATACAATATTGTTACAGTATACTTATATCATATCCAATATATTTATGTTCCATATAATACAATTATTAATTTATTGAATATTAATGTATACTTAATAAATTGTTAATAATTATATTGATTTAAAATTTATATTTATTAATTAAAATACATTTACTAATTATTTAATAAATATATTACTTCATGTTTATTAATATTATATTTATTAATACTAACATATTTATCAATTGAAGAATAGGTAATCAATAAGGTGTGACATAATAAGGTGTGACATGTTAGTAGGTAACAAATAAGATAAGACATATGCTTGGTAAACAAACTTATTTTTTAAGTATGTAGTTAAGAGTTTAATCTCTAACCTATGTGTGTATGAAAAAATATTTATTAGAAAATATTAAGTCCTTAAATAAATTTGAATATCTCCAAAAGATTAGTCTTTAATTAAATGTACACCTCTTATAAATATCTTGAAAAAACGCTCCCTTGACTTTTACTTCTTTTTGACATCATAATCAAATGATCAAATAATTCCGACACTTAAAAATAAGATTGAATTAATGATTCAATAGTTGGATTATTTAATTTTATATTTTATAAAAAAAATTATTAAATAATGTAAACACAAAATTTTGTTATTAAATTTTTTTTTTTTGGTTCTTACCTTTTTGATTAAGGTTAAACATAATTCTCTAGCACCGCGTGAGGCAGAGATTAACAATTCTCACCATATATAAATTTTATTGACCTTGACAAGAAACAAATAAAAATAACTAATATGCATTAAACTGTGAATTGTGTTCATACGTGATGTGGGTTTGGCCACATTGTTTAAACTAATATATATGTATAGCTTTTGACGTTTCACAAAAGTTTGACGGCGACGTTCTACCATTTGATATCCAAATAAATGATATTGACGAAGAAAAGATTGTTTGAATTTATAAAGATTGCGTAAAATAAGTTGAGTAATATATAATAAAATAATCTTCATTTCGATGTAGCTTTCCAGTCAATGCTTATCCCACAATACTAAGGTCAATTGGCTCCATTTCTTGGAAAATAAGATTACATACCTATTGTATTGTCCCCGCTAATTATAATAGTAAATTACTCTCTATTATATGGAGAGATATTAAATAAATATTACAATATTGTAAACTTATTTTGATATTGAGTTTTATTTTCATAGATAAAACAAAAAAGTAAATAATTTTTTCCAAGAGATACAAGTACTACAGAGTCTTCTTTTCTTACATTATAATATAAAATAAATTATACATTCCTTTATTAAAAATGTAACTGTTCATTCTCTTTTACATTAAAATATAATTTAATCTATTTCTTTTAAAAATGTAAACAAAATAATATTTTTCTTATAAAACTATATGTTTAATAAACATTATTTTGTTGAATTTATTAAATTTAATAATATATTATACTTAATAAATATAATACTTAATTGTACTTTATAAGAAAATTACCGGTTTATTTAATATTTATATAAATATTACATTAATAACATTACTTAATACTACCTATTTAAGTGTTATGAATATATATGAGAGAATTTTAATGATTTAATTGAAAAAATCTGAAATGCATTATCATTATTATATATAACACATTGTTGCTAATTTTCAAATTAGAATAAGGGTATGTTTGTTTAAATTTTTTTAAAAACAAATATTAAAAAAAATATTAAAAAGTAGATATAAATTGTTTCTTAAAAAAAGTATAAAAATTCTTATTTTAAAAAAGTTTAGACAAACATATAAAAAGTAAAAAATTGTTTATTTTATTTTTGAAAAAAATACTTTTATAAGAAAAAAAATTAAACAAACATACCTTAAATCATTTAAGTTACAATATTGGTCTTTTTGAAAAACAAAAACATTATAAACACTTATAAGAGCATTCATGAAGCAAGTTACTAATTATATATGTATTTTATTTTGGTTGAGTCTTACATAGTCACCGTCATATTTAAGTAATTAATGTATAAGCAAGTTACTGCATTTTTACTCCAATAGGATAAAATAGTAAGTGATGCTTTAGGTACTTTTTTTTTTTTGTAATATTTTCTCTAATCTGAGTTCAATGCGAAGCTCATTGTGTTGTGTTGTGTTCTTTTTCTTTTTCTTTTATCACTGCTTGTTCTTGATTATTGGTTATGAAATGGTTAATTTTTGGTTTTGTTCTGAAATTTTATTTTATTTTATATAATTTATTAGTTTTTCCTCTCTCTCTATTTTTGATGGTAATTGATAATGTTAAAATAATTTTTTATTCTTAAGCTATCATTTAAGGTAGAAAGCTTAAATTTAAAATATTCTTTATGTAATATAAGAAGACTCCAATGCAAAAAAGATAATTATTTAAATATAAAGTATCTGTAAGATATTGATATTCTAAGAAAAGAAAACGAAAAAAGAAAAAGAAAATAAATATATTTAAAAATTAAAATTAATTTTGAAATTTGTTTTATTAGTTCTTCAAAAATATAATATCTTTTAACTTGTGTATAAATTAATTTTAAGTTAAAAAAAAATTAAGTTAGAAGGAACTTATTTAAATGGGTTCATTAATATAAAAAAGTATTTTAATGATTATCTTTTAATTTAAATTAATGTGATTAAATATTAAATAATTTTTAAAATTTTTAAAAATTTGTAAATTTAATTAATATATCAAAATTTTTAATTTAATGATTGAATGTTTAAAATTTGATGTAAAATATGATTTATTGTGTGCATTGAATGGAAGACTCATTTTATAAATAGATGGAGGTGGGTGAATGTGATCAGACGTTCCAACTGTAAGCAAATGTTAAATATTAGTAAGTCGCCATTAAAAGAACTCCAAGTCGTAACAAAGAAAATGGTATGATAACGAAAGAGTTGACTTTGGCTTTTGAAGGTACAGCTCTTCCAATGGATTTGAAATCAGGTAACTCAACTGTAACATGTTGACAGACACTGATCCGAGAACCTTGTAGCATTGTCTTCTGACTAACTAGATGTTTATATGCATATAGATCCAATAATTATAAACTGATGAAATAACTAGCAGTAATAGTATAACACCGCTTAATTGCATAATCCACGCACACGGTGAAGAAACAAGATTACATATCGACTTGCAGCTTAATTTTATGTAATGAAAAAAGGAACATGCATGAAAACAGAATACAAAAGGGAAATGAATTACACTAACAAAATCAAACAGATGAACTTATTATGTCCAGAAAGAATGAATGAATTAAATCTCCTTACTATTCACATTAATCGTAGCCAGTGTCATAGTTGATCAGCTCCGTACCACTAATACAACAAAATTTACAAAGACATCCGAAGAAGAAGAAAAAAAAAAAGTTAAAGAGACCAACCTATTACATCAAAGAAAGTGAACTATTATTGAACAAAATCAAGTTGAACAAATATGAACAAAGCGTGCAGACTGCAGGCAGATGAATTGATGTCAATATTCGGGCAGTTCTTTGATGAATTCCAACGCGGAAGGGGATATCAAACTTCCCAGAACCCCATATGGGGAATCAGAATATTTAAACATCGAACGAGATGAACAAAAGAAATCTGAGGAATTTGGAGTGAAAAGTGGCATATCAACAAAATCGAGATGAGAGGGACTACGTTGAACATTTGTGCTATCATATTCACCCCTCCTAAGAGCTGAGCTAGTTTCATTATTACTATTGTTGTTGGATCCATCAGACAGAGATGATCCAAAATTCTCTGAAGCTTCTTGTGGCAGTGAGGTAGTGGACACGTCATCGTTGGTGCTTGACCTACCCGTGAGTCTTTGAACAAGAGCCATGAAATCTTTAGCCTTGGTGTGGATAATCTTGGGTGAATGTGTGTATATGATGATGGGATTAATCCTCTGTGGTTTGTTCAGTTTGGTGTCTGCATCAACACATGTTGAAGGCTTGCGAATCCTGTGAGAATCTTTGTTGATCATCAAAGGAGAAGGACGTGGACCATTGATCACCTTCTTCGGTTCATGAAACTCATATAACTTTGCACCAGGCCTCATCTTAATCGGTCTTCAAATGTGTGTATGAACTTAAAATGGAAAAGTGAGGAAAAAAGATACAGGAAGAGGGGTTATATATAGAGTGAGATTGAGAAGGAAAATCAATAGTAGCCATTAGCCAACAACTATGACCGTTGACACTTTAGCTACAGTTCATAGTTGTCAATAGGAAATATTATAGATAATATGATTTGACTGCTGGAGTTTGAAACGCAGCTAAATGTTTATTTACCTGATTCATTAATATGTGTAATAACGTGAAAAATAAAATTAAAATGACCCAAGATGCGTACGACAAAAGAAAATTGTTGATTTGAACCAAAATAAAAAATGTTGAAGAAGATTAATATTATTCCCAGTGGGTTGGTTGTTCAGTTGTTTGTATATTGTTACACGTTAGGCCTCCGCGCCTCTTTAGCCGCCCGCACACGTACGCAGAAGCCGCACACCTTCGATTCAATCTCCTTTTTCTGCCTCTAAAAAAATTAATATGTAATATCGATTACGTTTTCAATTTTTATATACAATTCTTCAAGTTCATGTGAAAATTTTATTAGTATTTATCTCTGTAAACATTCATTTAGTCTTGTCAGACTCATTAACTTTGATATATTTTTAGACTCGACTCATCTAAGTTTATTGAACAACAAAAAAAAATTATATATAATATGTTTTTTTTTTCTATTGCTTTCTCTTATATTTCATTTGACTCTAAGATTGATCCCTATTACTTTTCTATTCTTATTCTATCACTACTCTTCGCGTGGATATGTAACATAAGTTTGAATTTTAACAAACTCAAACTATCCCATTTTGAAAATAATTAATATAAGGTTTAGATGATGCAGAATTTCTTGGAAGCCAAGATTTGTCTCACTATGACCATTTTCTTAGTTGACAACAAATGTTTTTTTTTTTTTTTACACAGATAGTTTGTTTAGAAGGAAAGGGAAATAATGACAATTTTTTTATTTCTAATAATTGTTTCTAGTTAAATTTTTAAAACAAAAAAGTCAGAATAATATAAATTAATTTTTACTTATTTTATAAACTTCATATGATTTAATTTATGTTTGGACAAGCTTATTTCGCCAACATAATATATTGTTAATAAAAATAATAATCTTACTCTAATAACTTGTGAACGTGGCTGTGTTTTTCATGTTTTTTTTTTTTTCCAATAACTCTGTTGTCTTTCAGAGAAGAAAAAAAATACTGTGAATACTAGCTCGATCTTAATTCTAAATTTTTGTTGGATTAAAAAATAAAATAAATTGTTGGCATTGTACTTTATTATACTTTTAAAACATGGATTGAAGTTTGGTCTTTACTTAAATAAATATCACTTTATTATTATAGTATGTCCTAACTTCTTATTAAACCAAAATATCAGGAAGAAAAAAAACCTGCAACATCATTGCAAGATGAAATAAATAGTCTAATAATAACTCATCGGTGGCCGTAAGTAACTACCAAATGAAACAACAAAAAAAACAAATTGGATTCACAAACCTTATCGTGGCTTTAGAATGCACAGTATAATATTTTATACCTACAAACGCAGGCATGCTTTAAAATAGATGTAGTATATATCGATTCAAATACTTTTCAAATAAAAACAAATATTTTTTAATATTTTATAGTATTATTACAACCTTTTATTTAAAAATTTGCAATTCTGTCCCACTTTTGTATAAATAAAATTTATTATGTAAATTGATCTTTTGATTAATTTTTCTGAATTAACCTTTTTAATTAATTAATTTTTAATCTGAAATTTTCAAATGTTTGAATTTTGTTTTTAAACTTATTTATCAAGATAACTTAAAGTACCAAAATGCTTCAATTTTTATGGGTAGAATAGTAGCTCCCTAATATATATGAGATATTAAAATATTTAGATAAATAATAATATTTTATCTGGATTATTATAATAATTTTATATTTTACATCTAAATTTGGTATTGCATCAAATGTTATATATATATATATGATATCCTGCTTCTTAAGTTTAAAGTTACTAGGTGTTAAGATTAAAAAAAAAAAAAAAAAAATTAAAATAAAAAAAAAAAAAAAAAAAAAAAAAAAGTGAATGATGTGACATGTATTGCGGTCATTGTCATAATTAAAAGTCAATTTCATTGACTTTCAATTGTTATGATATGTATTTCCTGGACTTTGTACATTGTAACGTATAAATAAAAGTATAGCCGGCGTCAATAATTGACAAAAGTCGTTGTTTGTATATATTAAATATTTAATTAAAGGTGTTTTGTGTATATATAAAAGAATATTATTTATGGTATAAAAGGGAGGAGACAGCAAGTGTTGGTTCGAAAATGAAATAAGAAATAAAATGTTTGGGCCGCGTTGACAGGTGATATGGTGGGTTAGCTGGCGCTTCTACAAATTGGTTGTTTTCTATTTGCAACTAACAAACACAAACTTGTATACCATTCATGATTCATCATAGCCTTCTTAAACTTACTTTAAGCGTTTCTGTGGACTATATCCTTTGTTATTAAATGATTCTTTTAGCATTGTTTATATATAATTGTGATATTACCTACAAACACTTCACGACTATAAATTAAATAACAAATTGATTTTAACTATTTATATAATATATAATTGTATTATCAAAATTAAATATTTTTATCTTCTAGCCTATTATGAGCCAAATTAGACAAATTACTCAACAAATATCTATAAAAATAGAAAATAAGAATTCAATTGAAATACACTAATAAATGTAAATTAAGGATTTTTATATTATTATTTAATAATGGATTGTCATGTAATTGAATTATTGGCCCTTGTAATACATACTTTAAAATTAATATTTAATATTATTTCTAATTGATTACAAATATAATTTTTTTGCACTAAAATTATATAAAAATTAAACTCAATAGAATATATCAAAGTTTTCTTAAAAAATAAATAAACATATGCTCCTAAACTTATACATGAAAAAGTTAAGTGAGAAATCCTCCAAAAGAATTAATATTTTACTAACTAAGCTTATGTTTAAGAGTAATGTAATTCACACTATATTAACTAAGATTAAATAAAAACTATAAATTTTTATCATTAGATAAAGAGTCTTATTAAATAAATCGTGAGACTCTAAAATTTATAAATTTAAATAAATAACAAATCCAACGTTAAAGAGCTTGTTATATATGAAATTGGATGGCTTAAATACTTTTGAATTTAAATTTCTTATTGTTTGGGCTTTTTCAAAGGTGGAAAATATTTTTTTTAACAATAGTGATGATGTTTTAGACTTTTGGTTCATGAAATAAATTTTCCTACACTAAGCGACACAACTACTAATTTAAGATCGTATATGTATAAATACTAGAATAGATATAATATTGCATGCATATAAGGATAAAATAATTATTCTAATATGTGCAATATACATAGAATAATCATGTATATGTAAATATACAACTAAGTTGTCAATCAAGTAACTATAATTATCTACACAAATCTACTTTCAATAGGTAGTCATCAAAACATCCAACTTCAATGTCATTGTGTAGCCTCTACTACAATACTCCAGCCTTATTCCTGTCATGCTCTTATACCACGTATGATCATTGTAGTCAAAATCACATAAAAACACGCAAAGGTAAACTATGAAAAAAAGGAAACAACATATATATATATATATATATATATATATGTGTGTGTGTGTGTGTGTGTGTGTGTGTGTGTGTGTGTGTGTGTGTGTGCGCGCGTGTGTGTGTATACAATAGGAACATCACATCATAATCTCATCTTTGACAACATAGCAACAACACATCATAACATACAACACAAATCAACATAATCCAACTTTGAATCAACACAACAACACATTTCATCACAGTTCAACGTAGCATATGAACAACGCAATCATCTTAGAACATCATATGTTTAACACAAGTACACAACAACTATATACGTTGTCATGCATTTTAACTAGGAGATCTCCTGCAACACAAGGTGAGTTGTTTAAGTGGTTTGATCCTACCAAACTGACAACATAGGATAATCTTTTTGAGCTTGCTAGATCAACAACAATTCATATATAAATCCACAACATAGCAACTTAGTTCCTCAGATATTGTCGCTTAAACAAAGAAGTATAGTACTAATGTTAGGATAGAACAGTTGGGTATTGCTCTATCACGACATTAGTTAGATTAACTAAGCTCCCTATGGGATTAACCCACCAATTATCCTCCAAATATTACAACCTTCCGATACTTGGTTAGGAACTAAGTTTTCGACTTTGTACTTTACTTATTTGGTCACTTGTAATCAGTATAGCTCGACTTGACCTCTATATTATGGTTGTTTCATACATGTGTGTCTCGACCTTGCCTACACACGGTACCAACAAAGTCCTAGAGGAGAAACAACACAGTATCCACAACAAGGGTCAACTTTCTAAGAAGGGTTTTTTAACAAACTGGACTCTCAGAGTACTATAACACAATATCCACACAATGAGATATACAACTTTGAAAATATCTCCTCTAGTCCTAAGTGGTCATATCACCATCATCACAACTCATTTGCAACAATATGATCAACATGCATCTCAAAAACACATCAACATTGTTCATATAGAATCCTAACATGGCTACACAACTTCACAACATACAACTCGACTCAACTTTCAACTTCACATCAAGTCAACTTACAAAACGTAAACAACATACATGTTTAAAACATTCCCATCTTAAGAAAATAACATCATAAACCAACTTAAGCAACTAGAACAACTTACAACTTAATCATCTTTCAACAAATAATACAACTTAACCAAATCACTTATTATGAAATGACAACCTTCACATAAAATATCACATAGGAAGTTCTACTACTCTTATCATGCTCATTCTTATCTTATATAAAAGACAAGAAATTTTTCTACAATTTTCATGAAGAACTCAGGTTCTAATTTCATCATTTACCATTTTGAAAATTGTAAAAATCGCAACAATTTGTCTAAATGTTGATAGCTTGACCTGT